CAGCACCACGTGCAGTTGCTCAGCCCGAAGGAGCCGAAGGGAGAGCCGGGGCAGTGCCCGCCACATCCCACAGACCTGTAGTAGACAGATGGAGAGACAGACAGACACAAAGAAAGAGACACACGCACAGAAAGAGAGAGAGAGAGAGATAAATACACACCACCCAAAAGAAGAAGACTTGGGTGGGGCCTGGGCACAAATCCCCCAAGAGAACTTCGACGACAGAGCTCTGATTTTCGACTCATAAGCATCAAGGAGAGCTCAGTCCCAGCTCACTACCCATGCCACTTCCTCCTCTGACCTTCTTCTTCCTGGGCTAGGAACTTCGAAGGTTGGACCGGTGGTCCAGAAGGTTTCCTCCAGCTGAAGATCTATGATCCTCTAACTTGATAAGCAAACGGGACGAGGTCCTCTTGGCACCAATCAAACCACCCCCTCCCCTCCCCCGACCCCCACCCCCCACTCCAGTCCTGCAGCCTGGCCCAGGAAGCAGGCAGGTGGGGAAGGGACAGGACAGCATCCAGGTCTGGGGAAAGGTCTTACCAAACCATCCTGGGCTTGGGGAGCAGGGTGCTCGAACAGGGTACTTCCACTCGGGTCTGTGAATCGTACTCGAGTGACGCGGTCCAGCCTGGAGTGGAAAGAAAGGGGTAATGAGGCCGGAACCAGGGCACGGAGCTCAGCTCCTAGGATGTCCCTTGCCCCTTCGCCAATTCTTCCCTTCCCTTTCCCTGGGCTCCCCGGCGCTGCCCTTCCCTCAGAAACCATCACATCAGAACAATCTAGGACCCGAGTTTCGCTGGACCCTGCTCCCTCTCAACTCACCCTCGGTAGGAGACAGAGAAGCGCAGGGTGGACCGCAGCAGCAGCACCCGGGTTCTGGCTACTGCCTGCGACCCTCTGCCAGTCAGCAGAGCCACAAAATCTGCCGGGAGACAGGAACCCTGATCCCTGCTCAGGAACTTCGCTTCTGCAGGCCCCGAAAGCCGAGCCCCCTCGGGCCCTGAGCGCCCTCCGTGGGCCTGCCAATAGCCACCCTTTCCCCCC